TATTTAACTTTATCGCTAATATCGGCCGATACGATACCATGCCGATAATATTGTGCATCCCTAATAATGTTGAATATGATGACAAAAAAGTATAAAGTATTTAAATCTAGGGCCCTTTAACTACTGTCAGACACCAAGTTTTCAGATTATTAATAAAAAAAAGCAATAATCCAAAACGAGCAGGTGCCAAAGATGAGAAAATGTTTGTGAGCCACAACATTTCAAGGTTGTGCCTCTGCTGTGTAACAAACAGACTTTACCAGCAGGTTATCTACTCTGAAATCCTGTCACATGATTATTAATGCCACTCTCGGGTTTTCGTTCTGAATCAAAGTGTGGGCTATCTGAATGAAAATGAATGATTTCGTTCGCTCCACGGCCTATAAAAGGCGACTGGAAACAACACATCGCTCTCAGATTTTCCTGCTTTTCTCGAGTCACTCATTCTTCACAGATCTGAGAAGTGGGCGTCCCAGATATTACGCATGCCTCTGCTGCTGGTCCGCCGGGGTCTGATGTCTATCAACCAGTCTGATGTTTTTCCTTCAGCGACAGAAAGCTTACATTGGATGAAGGTTTCCAGATCTTAACGTGGAAACAAACATGGAACTCTGATATTTCTGGGCCAGCTATAGCCGAGTGGTTAGAGCAGTCGTCCTCCAATGGGAGAGTTGGGGGTTTGATTCCACCAGCAGTCACATGTTGAAGTGTCCATGGGCAAGACACTGAACCCCTCATTGCCTCCGAAGCATGTCCCATCTGTGAATGAATTCGATCTAAAGCACTAATTAGTCTCTACAGATTCAGATTATCTTTGTAGAGATCTAGTAGAGTGCTGTATGAATGTGTGTGGAGGTAAATGAGGACACAGACTGTGTTGTACAGAGCTTTGAGTATCCTGATTAGATAGAAAGAAGATAGTTCAAGTTCAAATTTAACAATCTTTGTTATCCCAAAGGGGCAGTTTGTTTCACAGTCAGTAGAAACAAAAAAAAAACATCAATAGACAAGACATTGACTCAATACAAAAACAGAAATCATTACGATCACTACAGGGATGAATGAGTTTTTCAGTCTGTTCGTCCCACATCTGGGTAGCGGATACCTGCATCCAGAGGGAAGCAACCTGAACTCGCCATGGAGTGGTGATCAGGATCTGCCAGAATCAGCCTGGCCTTGATCACTGACATCGCCTTGTGTAAGTCAGTGAGGTTCTGTAGGACTATGCCAGCAGTTTTGCTGAACATCCTGAAAATCCCCAAGAGTTTGTTCCTGTTTTTGCATGTTAACGATCCAAACCAACAGATAAACGTAAAAGTTTAGAGACTCTGTAAGGATGGCACCATCTAGTGGGCCTTCCTTGTCTGTACTCCCTAGTGTGTCTCCTCATTTACCCAATTAATTTCACCCGTGTCTTGTGCCAGCTGTTTGTAATCACGTCCTGTCTTGTCTGTGTATACAAGTCTGTCTGTTAGTCTTGTTCGTTGTCGCATCGTCGTTGGGTCTACCCTGTCTTGTCCTGACCTGATGTTTACCAGTCCTGACCCGAGTTGTATTTCCAGTTTTGTAAGTGTGCTGCCACATCAGCTATTTAATTTATTATCAATAAAAGTATTTATTTTTGTATTTTCTGAGTCTGAGACCCTGCCTGCAACTATTGGGTTCGTTCTTGCCTGAGAAACCCTGACAGACTCAATAAAACATTCTCAAAGTAGGATCAACATTAAAACCACAGAGCTTCTGATAAAAACACATTCTCTGGTGAGCCTTCTTACAAAGTGAGTTCACATGGGGTCAAAGGTCAGTTTGTCATCAAGAACAGTTCCCAGATATTTATACTGTTGCACCACCTCAACAGCTTCACCGTGTTAGCGGCGTCGTGTTAGCGTGTTAGCGGTGTCGTGTTAGCACGACGCCGTGTTAGCACGGCGCCGTGTTAGCAGCGCCGTGTTAGCAGCGCCGTGTTAGCAGCAGCATCTTATTAGAAGAGTGGCTTTGTTAGCAACATGGTCAATTTAGCTGCGTGGTGTTAGCAGAGTGGTCCTGTCAGCAATGTGGTTCTGCTAGAAGCGTGGTCCAGTTAGCAGCATGATGATAATATGATGATGTGTTAATATGTTTTTTCCACTTGATTAAACATATTTGCACTGATGCTACTTGTACAGCGGTGCAACATGTACAGCGGAAAATATGGTAGTCGTGGTAACTGTGGACAGATCCTGACCTTTGCCTTCTTGGCGCTGCTCATGATAGTGCCCAGATCCTCCACATCCACCACCGAACCGGATTTCTTCTCTTCCAGAGAGCCCGACTCGTCTTCGTCGCTGCTCGAGTCAAATAAATCCACCTGAAAACAAAATGAAAAACACAAAATCTGGTCTCCATAATGGAAGTGGAAGATACAGCGGGAGAGGACAGAACCAACATTAACGAGGAAGAATATGTGAAAAACATTTATTATTCACAGTGACTTCCTCATGAACTGATCACGTAAAGCAGCAAGAGTGTTTAGTTTGAGCTTGTGTTCACATAAGAAACGAGGAAAGTGCTCAGACGGTCACGATGACACCCTCAGACCCTCTGACTGAATGTCACCTCTTCAACGTGCACCGAGTGTTGCCGACAGCAGGACTGGCTCTGTGATGCTCGTTACTATGACAACAGATATGACAACTAACATATAAAACGTGACAATGTGAACGGTGTGAATTCAGGGTGTGATTAAAGGCGTTTCAAGTGGTTTGACATAAATTATTCATGAAAACCATTTTTGATTCCGATTTATAAATTGATGGTTCTTATCTGATTTTACTCACCTTGTTGCATCATGAGATTATTCAAACATTACTCAGAGTACATTCATTACCCTCCGCTGAGGGCGATAATGTTTTTGCCTGCAACATTTATCAGAAACAACAACAGACCTTACTGAAACTCTCTTAAAAGTAGTTATTACAAAAAATGTCTACAGCTCGATCAGTTTGACAGATAATGAGCTTCATCTTGATGTGGTAGTAGCTGAGAGTCATTAAAGGCACATACTCTGAGTGTGGCTTATTGTGTCGTTGCACAAAACCATAATTTGTCTACCTTTGACATGGATACATCTCCATCTTTTCTGATGATCTTTGGCCGATTTATACTCCGCAAGAAGTCAAGAAATGTGTTCTTGCTGTCGCAGTTGGGAGATGAAAATGACGTCTTTTTGTTCTTGCACCGCCCCGAGAACCCGTTCTGTGCACAAAATCCTGGCAGAACTTTTTTCTTGCAGGGTTACGTGCTAAATGTGTTGTGATTGGTCAGAACTTCATGGGCAGGTTTATGCAGAAAAGCGTCTTGAGATACACGGCTCTCGTTTTGCTTCAACTGCTCCGCTGAGGAGCTGCTGGCCCAGGCTGTTAGAAAATACAGCCGTCTGTACAGCTGTTCCAGAAAAGCTTGGAAAGATGGTCAAAGACGTCGTGGAAGAAGATAAACCCTCTTCGTGGTTGTGCTGACCAGGAGGGGGTGCGCCTTGGCTGGGCAGCGTAGGGACTCGTTCCCACACCGTCTGACAGAAGCAGCCGCAGTCTCTTTCAGACAAATTAACAAAATACTGCTTCTCCTCTGTTACCAACAGAACTACCAGATTATCCAACTCCTCCATCATCAACTAAAAATGAACATCCATTTTGAGAACAGTGCCGACTGTGCTGTTCTTTCTGTTTGGTGTGACACCTGCTACAGTGGGTGGGGCTTACCAGGAGTTCAGTTTCTCAGAGTATAAAATGCTCGTGCGTCTCACAACAACGTCAGCAAGAACAGATGTCTTACGTCTCATGAAGTACGCTGCAACCTTTAATCTGAAACTCTTAAAGAGACGAGCGACATGCATTCCTTTAAACTCTAAGATCAAGACACAGCGTTTATCACATCAAGAGAGACTTTTAACAAAAACTACTGTAGTTGTAGTTATAGAGTCAGAGTTTTCCACCGTTACCTCAGAGCTGTTGTCGTGTGATGAAGCTTTCTCCTCTTCATCCGGTCGGTGTTTCTTCTCGTTCTTACAGGATCCTCCCTTCTTACATTTCCCGCTGCAGCTCTTCTTCTCTCCTTTGGCCAGAGCCTGAAGACGGCTCAGGAACTTGACCTTCCAGGCCTGGAAGTCTGCCTGAACGCTCCCGTTACGACTTTTCACCACGTTGCAGTCGCCCTCCGTCCTGGTCATGACGCGCGTGGCGCTCAGCATCCACAGCCACTTGTCCACGTTTTTACACACCTGCAGAGGCACGACAACGCAGACTGAATTAACTCAGGCACTTTGTTACTGTTGGTGCTCTAATGTAGAAAGAGTTCCTGACCGTGTTATAGTGGCCGACGTAGACAGAGTTTCCGAGGCCGAACACGGCGTATCTGAGGCCTTCGAGGAACGTCTTCCCGTATCTGAAGTCTGTGGACGCCTCCTCCAGCCACTTGCAGAACCACTCGGCGTTTTCTGTGGGCTGTCCGTCCGTGTAGGTGGCCACGAGGAACACGCAGACCGACTTACTGATGCACTGAAGGACGATGCAAACACAACAAACACGAGACGATGAAACAAAAAGAAGAGAAACACGATTTTACAATTCAAGTCCAGTTTACGGAGATAAAATGTGTAAAAATGTGATTTATAAATTCATTTCAATTCAAATTCAAAAACATTTTATTAATCCCAAAGGGAAATTATTTGTTGTTGTAACTCGTTATCCTCAATTCATTAAGAGATGTTATAGATCTGATGCTGTAGACAGGAAGGATCTCCTGTAAAGGTCCATCCCACAGTGGATCCTAAGAAACTGGCTGCAGATGCCGTCCGATCCGTCCACCCAGACTCGGCTGGCCTCTCGGTTCCCCCGGACAGTAGGACCGCCCGAATGCTGAGCAGAACTCCTCCCAGCAGTCTGCCGAGCTCCTCGTCGCTGCGGACAGCCAACTGTAGGTGCCGAGGGACGATCCCGTCCTTCCGCTGTCATGAGCCGTGTTTCCTGCTAGTTCCAGGATCTCAGTGGTCAGGCACTCGAGCACAGCTGGCAGGTAGATGAGAATGCGTCCACAGAACATCCTTTTCAACTCATTTGGGATTTGAGACTGTAGTTGAGATATTATTTGAGCTTTTGAGATGTTAATCAGCTGCTGTTGGTTGTAGAAAACTGCCTTGTTGCCATGGTTACGCATCATAACAAATGCCCAAAACTAAAAAAGTTTCAGTAAAAATCCTTCCTGCTGCACAGCATCTGATACCAGAGGAAACAATCATCCAAAAAATGTGATTTACATCCAGAAAAAGAGGAACTAAAGTTTCCAAAAGCAAAATCTCAGGATGAAAGTAACGGAGCTGCTCCAACATGCAGCCACCTGAAGCGGCGCAGTTCTAGAACAATAACAACAAAATGAACAATTTACAATAGTCTCTCGCTACTTCGCGGTTCATTTATCGCAGACTTGCTCCATCACGTTTTTTTTAAGTACTGTACATGTACATAATATTTTCCAAAAATAAATAAAAAGTGCCGCCACTTTGTAGTTTTCTTTCATTAAGTCTTCACTGTTTAGCCAGTCTAAAGAACTACGTTACCCAGAAGCCATCAGTTCACTCACTTCCCAGAAGTCAACACTTCTCTTTCAACCACTTCTTTCTACAAATGGAGGGACAGTTTTGCAGCAAAGTCAGAAGTTCTGTAAGTTCTGTTGCTCATTGGCAGGAAAGTCTCAAATAATCCTGAAGATGAACTCGTCCTTCAAGTTGTATCTTCACTGCTGAGTAGCTGCAGCTGATCTGGACTCGGTGTGACCCGGATCCTGGGAGCTGCAGACAACAGCTGCGGGGTTCAGTCAGGTTCTGGTCAGGCTGGTCCGGACCGGGCCAGAGGTGATGGATTAAATCCTGGGCAGCAGCACGTGCACATCAAGCTGGATGGAACAGTGAGCTTTAGTCATGCTGCACCGGGACTTTTTTCATCTATCGGGTCGGACCGGAACCGAGCTGCTCCTGTACTGCAGAGCCTGGGAAGTAAAATGTTGTAGCTCCTGCACATATAAAGTACTGTATGTTGTTAAAATGAGTAGGTTTAAGAGTTCAGAGGACTGATTGTGGGCTTCATCGCTGCAGGACAGGTCTGCAGAAACTAACAGAGTCAGAATGAAACGGAGTTGGACCGGAACCAGAACTGTTGCTGTTCTGCAGAGCTACCAAGTCAAATTTACTAACATACAGTTTGTTGTTAAAATTACATAGGTTTAAGCATTTAGAACATTCCAAGAGTGTGGGATGGGTTTATAAAGCCTTAATATAAAGTTGAATGTACTTTACTGAAATTGAACTTGAACTACTGTATCCGTACTTTGTGGTGTTTCACGTATTGCAGGGCTTCAGGGTACGGATCCCCCGCCGTAAATGAGGGACTACTGTACAAACAATTAGGATTTCACATGCAAATGTGACAATTTCTCACTCAAAAAGCTTTTTTTTTTTCAAAAATGATCAAATATTTGTGCACAAGTGAATCAGTTCAGAAACTTTCTTTACTCTCTACACACAAACCACATGATGCATTCAGGTGCTGGTGGAAAGCTCGTTCACCGGGGTTGTAATCAGATTCTCATGAGCACATCAAGCCACTTCTGCACAAGTTTCATTCACACAAAGCTGTTTAAGTGTGAAAACATTTGCATCTGTGAGGCGGAGAGTGAAGACATGTAAATAAATATTCGTTCCGGTTGTAATTTGTGTATTTTTAAACTTCTTTCACACGTACGACGCCTCGATATTTCTTTATGCATTGCAACATGCAGTGTTTGTGCAAGAATGCACACATTATGGTGAATAGTTTTTAAAAGAGGTTGAGTTTTCCTCATGTAAAGGAACAAAGTCACTAAAGTTACCTCCACTGAGGAGAAGTTAAAAGCTTCAGGCCTTCAGATGGGATCAGATGGGATCAGATGGGATCTCACTGAGCTACGATGGTCAGGGAAGAGGCGGTGATTTATAGTCGTGGGAAAGTTGCAAGAAAATACACAAAACTTCTGTTGCATCTTCAGTCTGGTGCTCTGGAGGTGCGCTGAAGACACCATGATGACGATTTTAATACAAAATTGTTGCACACATTCTTTGACCATGTGACAAGATCTTGTGCCAGGAGATCAAAATATCACAAGATTTCTCCTCAAGTTGAAAACTGTCTCATGACGTCTCCATCACTTTAAAGCAAAGTTCAAACATGTCAGAATTTAGGACCACGCGGCACGTCCTGAGAGCAGCTTCTGCAGCTACGTGCTGAGACGAAGAGTCTCCGTCGAGCACTTAACGATGCGTTCACACAGAAATCTGTCAAACCTGAAGCTGAGGAAATCACGACTGATCCTCTGGTCCCGAGCTGATCAAACTTTGATGAGGTCCAAGTAAAACATCATCTGAGAGGACAACGTCCTGGGAGTCAGTCTCTCATTTTGACTAATTATGACACTGAGCTGGACCCCGTGAGTTCAAAGGTCACACAGCTTTAATGAGGTTAAAGGTCGTGCATAGTTGAAGCAGTTTAAAGGTCTGAAGTGACTCGGTTTGTGAAAAAAGCCATTTTCAAATTCTGTCTTGTCTTCTAAAGCTCAACCCTGATTTAAACTAAGTGGTACTTTGAGTTTGTGAAGTCAAACGCAGAAAGAATAAAGACGATAAAATCTACCTAAAGTTTTCTTCATACACTCCACAAAGTCAATCTGGAATCGAATGAGTTGTTACTGTAAAAAGTTGGGATCCAGACTAAGATGTGGTTTCTTCACAGACGGTGAGTTAAGGCTCGGAGTGTCTGGTGCGTCGACGCTCCCGGATATTTTCTGTTGCTGAAAAGAAACGAGCTCCTTGTAGATTAAACTCTGTTCTCTGCCGACAAACGAGTTTCTGTTTCTCTCTCGATGCAACGAGCTGCATCTGAGCCCAGAAAATGAAAAGGGACTAATCCAGCTCTCTGCAGAGAAGCTGCTGGAATAAACATCTTCTCTGAATCTCTGACCTGAAGAAAGAAACGAGAGCAGGAAAAAAGTCCGACTTACAATATTATTACATTTTGGGCTTACTGTAATCTTACAGATATTACCACAAGCTGTCAGATTACTGAACAACTGACAGTAACTCTGAGCAAGTCACATCTGTGACACATCTGTTTACTGCTGCTGCACGATGTGGCTGCACCATGCATGTCACTGCCTTACTGTAATAATAATAATAATAATAATACTTTATAAATAAAGTATTATTATTATTATTATTACCATCATGTCATGTCAGTGTAACATGTCACACAACATGTGTAGTTTATATGTGCAATATACATCATGTGAATTTAA